TACTACTACTACTACTACTACTACTACTACTACTACTACTACTACTTCTACTTCTTATTTTTCTTTTCCGCCACTCTTCTTCCCGTCCTTTTCCATCCCTCGAATCCGGCAGGGCGGAATCCTCTGAACACGCGCCAAAAGCGTTTCATCTCGCGATAGAAGCGATTGTCGATTCGAGCGCGCAATCAAACTTGGACTTCTTCTCGAAAGTGAATTACTCGGCGGGGCTCTGTCCCGCAAGGGGCTCTGGACAGCAAGAGTCTGGATGTGGACCCGACGAAAGTGCAAACTTACGTACTTTGTCATAATCGACACCGTACTCTCCTCGTGTATTTCAATCGTCGTGCTTCATCACTTACGTATATTTTACGTAATACATATTACGTCCATCTGTTAAATTAATAATACACGCGGCGAACGCTTGTAAATATTATATTTCATTCGTTCGCTTGATTGTACGACTCACGATCGCTGTTTACCGATCTCGAATCACTATTTACGGAAATTACGATTTTACGCCATTACTTACGGATTTCGAAGCGCTGCCCCTAATCGACTTACTAATTACGCCACGGCACGTGAATGCAATTACCTTGTAAGATTGAAGATGATTAACGACGCAGGTGAAGGAGACGTCACGACCTTGACTGACCGTATGGTTCTCCAGAAGCGCTAGAAATTCTGGCTGGATCTCGGACTTTGGCATCGCTTGACCTAGGCCAGGGGGAATTACACCGGATATAATTAACGATCGTGGGATTAATGATCCGGCAATGTTGCGTCTAATTAATTTCAACATCCGTGCTCCGTACAACAAAGTGCATCGTGTGCACCATAAGCTCGGATGGCACTTATCAATTCTACAGATTCACTGGACGTTCGCCATCCTCCGTATATTTTATCGAGCTCGATATTGATTTCTTTAATCTTTTACATCTCTTTTAACGCGACCAGCTTAATCTAGCTCGTCGTGCATATCGTTCCTCTATAGATTAATAGCGAGTGTACGGGCCAATAATTCTTTTTCCACTAGGCCATTCAGATTTAGTTTCTCTTCTTCGTTCAACGAGCATTTTGTCAGCGGAATGTACGCGCGTGTGTCCGCGCG